TTCTTGGCAGCCAGGGCACACTGCTGGCTCATGGTTAACCTGTCGTCCACCAGTACACCCAGGTCCCTCTCCACAGAGCTGCACTCCAGCAGGTCCGCCCCAAGCCTGTACTGGTGCATGAGGTTGTTCCTCCCCAGGTGCAGGACCCTGCATTTGCCTTTGTTGAACCTCATCAGGTTCCTCTCTGCCCAGCTTTCCAGCCTATCCAGGTCACGCTGAATGGCAGCACAGCCTTCCGGTGTGTCTACCACACCTCCCACTTTGGTGTCATCAGCAAACTTGCTGAGGGTACATTCTAACTTTTCATCCAGGTCGTTGATGAAGAAGTTGAACAAGACTGGGCCCAGTACTGACCCCTGAGGGACACCACTTGTCACCAGCCTCCAACTAGACTCAGCGCCGCTGATGACAACCCTCTGAGTTCTGCCATTCAGCCAGTTCTCAATCCACCTCACCGACCACTCATCCAGCCCACACTTCCTCAGCTTCCCTAGGAGGATATCATGGGAGACTGTGTTGAAAGCCTTGCTGAAGTCGAGGTAGACAACATCCACGGCTCTCCCTTCGTAGCAGAGGCAGTGTAGCAACACTTCCTCCCACCCATGCAAATTTTAAAAGTATTAGCAATTATCTCATGAAACCTTTAGAGTTGCTGTAATCTTTTGCATTTGGAGAAGCCATTCCATTTCTACTTTGTGACACCAGATTGTCACAGGATCAGTTTCTACAAAGTTTTTTTAAATTCTGTAAAATTTGTGTTCTCAATTTTATGCAAAAAAAGTATTGTTTTCTTGAGTATGGGTTTTTTTTTTCACCTGAAATGTCCAATTATTCTGATTGTTAGATTGTTACCCCTTAAAGACATCCTGTTACCTGGGCTCAGGTGTTCTGTTGTGTTAGTACAACGCAGTGTACTGTTGTGTAGGTACAACGTAAAATTTTATAAGTAGTATCACAATGAGCTTGAAATAATTGCATAGAACCTGGAAGATAAAGTGAATTCCAGTAAATTTAAAATTTCAACAGTCGTGGTTAGCATACAGAATATATTATTCTGTTATGGTTCTGGTAAATAAGTATATCTGCTTTTTTTAAAAAAAAAAAACCTGATGAGCAAAGATCTGTTAGGGTATGAAGGGTTCCAAAGTCCTACAGTAATTACACATACCAGGTTTGCCTCTGTGAGTATGCCCTGTAGTAATTCCTGTATGATTTCATATTTTATTCCGATCCTTCTGTGTTTAATTTAATTAAATTTTATGAAGTATGTTTGTTGAGATTTTGCCGTATTTGTTGTGATTTTTGGCCCTAAATTAAAGATTCTTAAGACATTGGCTGCATACCAATATGTTGGACCGTCTGTTAGTTCCACTGGCTGTTTTAGTTATTACATATCAAGATGTCTATCAGTATACCAACATATCTAAAAAATATAATTATTTTGCCACATGATAATACTGTGATAAAACTATTAGTAATAAAGGTAGTTGTGTGACCTGCAAGCAGCTGTTCTTGAATGCTGAGACCATCTTCATGATGCCCCACAAGTCGTTTCAAAATTGTATATCCTAATGATCTTTTCTGCATTACTTGTATCTAAAGATTTGTTGGGTGTTTGAGGATGGAGGTAGATGGCAGTACTAATTTAGCTGTGAATTTCATGATTCTGTGTACAGGCAGTAGACATTACTGTTTACTTTATACGAATCCTGCAAGCAGAGTTTGTGTTCTTCATTAAAGCTACCAGACTTGCAAAATTTCATGTAGCTCAGGTGTTCCTGAAACCCTGTAACTGAAAAAGCAGTGTGCTACTGCTACAAGCTGAAATGTTTGCATAGAAAATGAAGTACAGATAGAAGTTGTACATAGTCCACTCACTGTATGGGGAGCGTGGTATTACTTAGTTTGATGAGTATACATGTGCTGATAACACTTTGTCTGCAGCCTGTTTTTACTGCAGTGAGTACCAATGTAACAGAAATAACTGTATTCACTAAAAAATAAGGACCCAGATATTCAAATGTTTATAGGCTACCAAGGTTTTACAGGCAGTATAGAATTATCATGTGTATAGAAAATTACAACTGAAAAAACGAAATCACGTGAAGCAGGACTTTTCAGTTACTTTATGTAGACACTGTATGAAAAATTGTCACTTGAAAGAGAATGTTACTAAGAACTATAGATGTCTTAGAAATTTTCCAAATATCCAACCACATTTGTAGCAGTTAGAACATTTGGGTAGTTTTCATAAATACGGTTTTGAAAAGTAAGTCTGAATATTCTTAGAGTAAATCTTCCTTGCTTGGTGACTGTTGTCTGGAAATAATATTTTCGAAAGTAATGTTGAACTGTGTCACGGTATCTGTTACTGTTCAGTTATTCCTGATGTCAATATTTATTTGGAGACGGACTACCTAGAAAAGTGTGTAAATAGAGCAGTGGTGAACAGTTAATATTGGTTTGCAGGCTCTGGCATTTTCAGTGTATTTGTGTGCAATGAGCAGAGGCAAATTCTGGACTTCCTCTGCTCTAGGTTATTCCAAGTAAGGAGAAATTACACGTTCTCCTCATTCTAGTTTAACTTCGATTATATAGCTGTTTGGAAACTTAGTTTTCTTTATAGTTGCTGACAGAAGCTGCTGCGACATTGTGTAAGCAGTTGGTCTTAATATTGGAAACCTTTCTAGATATTTTTCATTAGCTGGTGTGTGTCTTGTATTCCATTTGACAAAACATGTGAGAAGGTTTAGCTACAGAACGGGGACATCAAGAATCCTTTTAGGACAAGAACTTGTTCAGATGTGCCTTTTTAGAGTAGAGACTTGCTTAAAAGTAAATTGATCAATTGCATTAAACTGAATACTTCTCTGTGTCAGTGCAGATTTGCCTGTATCACCCTATATGTCTGGATTTTTGCAGCAGAATTTTACATGTGAAGCAAGTTGATGCAGCAGAAGGGTTAAGCTGCTTAGAAGAAAATTTTTAAGGGGAAAGTATTCTTAAAGGAAGATTTTCAGTTCTGCTTTATTTAAAATGCCTAAAATTGTCATGATAGGCCAAGTTGTTCCTTCTGGGATTAGAGCCTGTCATCCAGTCAAGTTAGAAAAACATATTTCATGACTGCAGTAGCTTTTTCTAAGCTGTTGGAGGGCACAGCTGTTCCCCATCTGTGGGGTGCCCCATGGGGCAGTCTGTCTGGGCCTGGAGCATCTCTCGTAGGAGGAAAGGCTGAGAGAGCTGGGGCTGTTCAGCCTGGAGAAGAGAGGGCTCAGGGGGACCTCATCAATGTATACGAATACCTGCAGGGAGAGTGCAAAGAGAATGGAGCCAGGCTCTTTCCAGTGGAGCCCAGTGACAGGAGCAGAGGCAGTGGGTACACACTGAAACACAGGAGGTTTCCTTGGAACATCATGAAACACTGTCACTGTGAGAGTGACCAAGCACTGGTGCAGGCTGACCAGGGAGGTGGTGGAGTCTCCATCCTTGCAGACAGTCAAGAGCCATCTGGACATGGTCCCGGGCAGCTGTCTGTAGGTGTCCATGCTTGAGCAAGAGGGTTGGACCAGGTGACATCTAGAAGTCCCTGCCAGCCCCTGCCACTCTTGAGTATGTGCGTGTGACTGGGGGAGTTGGAGGGCAGAAGACAGTGACGGGGGCTCTGGCAGCTCAGGGGTAGGAGTGGGAACTGTTGAGATTTGTGCCCGCTTCTCAACAGACAGTCTAGGGCTGGAAATCAGGGAGAGGAGGTGCAGCGCTCAGCACTCACTCACTTGTTCCCTTTCTCTGTTGCATAGCTAGAGCTTTTTCAGTGCTGTTGCAGCCACTTTCACCTTGTTTTCTGCCTGTCTTTCCCAGCTGTGTTTGATTCCCTAGGGTGAGAATGGCCCCTTGCTGTCTAATGGGCAGTAAGTATTTTTCTCCCGGTGCCTTGTTAGAAGCAAGGCTTTACAGGTTTGGAAATGAGCGTGACTTGTCTGAAAACTACCCGTTACATATAACAATCTTATTTAAATTTTTTCTTTGCATGTGTTATTAGGATGAATTGCAAAATAAAAATGGTGACTGACTAGGCAATAATGCCAGTAAAATGTCATTTAAAAACTTGCTCGTCTCTACTACTCAGTATTGAAATAGCTTTTATCCGGTTTAAAATAGTAGTCTTTCATTTGGTCCAAATTGAACCATCCTAAGTATCCGAAGTCATCTTGTTACATGTGGTTTCTCTTTTCATGAAGTGGTACAGCCCAGGATGTGCCTATAAAATATCACAAGGAAAAATAATGATTTCAACACAGTTGTATCAATCCCCACCTGTTATTGTGATTTGTATTGTGTGACTACTCAGCATTTAACTGTCACTTTAGCTTCTCAATTGACATTATTTTCTATGTAAATACTATGTTTAAGCTCTGATTATTGTTTTAGAATAGAGATAAAAGTACGTGAGAAGATAATTTGGTATTGCTTCAATTGACAGAGACATTACTAGTAATTCCTCACGCTGCTTTCTGCTTGTAGATCATTAGATTGTAAAGTCTTTGTGGAAAAGGCCTCCAGAGGTTTGGGTATTCAACAGTTCTTATCTAGCTGCCAGGAAGCCAATGCCCAGTGTTGTGCTGGGATGAACTTAAGTACAGTTGAGCACATCCCATCTTTTTGCTTAACTCTTGCATAAATATCACTCATGGCAAAGCTTTTTTTTCCAAAGCTTCCTGCTGACCAACTGTTTACAAGGGAAGCACAGCTGTGCAGTAGCTTAGTTTGATTATGAACGTTGAGTGGGATGCATTCAGTTTAACCATAATAAGTGAAAGGAAAAGAACTCTGTTTACCTGTTAGTTTTTTTTAAATAGTGAATGCTTGACTGTAATATAAGGTCTTATGATATTTCAACATTTTTATTTTTTCCCCTTTTTTCTAGGGTCCGGGTGTATCTCATCCCTATGATAGTGGTCACATAGCAATGACTTACACAGGTCTGTCATGTCTGGTTATTCTTGGAGATGATTTAAGTCGAGTAAATAAAGATGCCGTACTGGCAGGACTCAGAGCTCTCCAGCTGGAGGATGGAAGGTAAAAGATATTTTACATTCTACGGCTCTGCAAGGTTCATAGAAAACACAGATGTGGAATGAAACGTAAGAGACATGGTTTTTATGAAAATAGCTGTAGAACCTTTTCTTTCTATTAGAAAATAGTTTGGTGGGTAATCAGTAACAGTCGTAGAACACGTGCCAGTTTAGAGGACCAAACAGCATTGTCATACTAGAGAATGACAATATTTGCTTACAACTGTAGATGCTTGGTACTCGAAAGTTAGTTGACTGGTTTATGTCTGGGGAATGGTAGTTTTTCTGCTCTGTCCTTTATATAAGTGAGGTTTTCTGTGTTCGTAGTCTCTTGTTTTTTTGCAGGGCCCTGGAGCACTAGTAGGATGAAGTTTGCTGTGCTTTGTGGGAGAATGGGCTTTGTTTAGTTTTTGAGAGATTCCAGATATCAATATACAGGGTGAATTAGCCTATATGTTACTTGTAGTAGGAGTATATTACTAAACTTCATTGTGAAGTCTGTCCTTTTTGCATGCATTTTTTAATAAGTGTTGTGTAGCCCTTGATCTACTTCTGTTGGTGGGGTTTTTTGGTTTTTTTTAAAGCAGGTTGACACTGGTAGCTAATGAAGACTTCTGCTAAGGCACACAATCTGTCTATGTTGTTAAATTTTACTGAATGTCATTTTTGAAAGAGTACTTTAAGAAATGCAGAATTACAGAAATGTTCCTGAAGGACTTATCTTTCATTTCACAATGAAATTGCTATCACCCTTTATGAGTTAAGAAAGCTTTTGTTTTGGTCAAATGGCTTTGTATTGCCTAGACATCTTCAATAATTAAAACTTTTTTTTTGTAACACAGCTATTAAAATGCGGTGTTGCATGTTTTTAGAAAGAAAAAACAAACACGAACTCCAGAATGTTCGGAATGTAAGTGGTGAATATGAATTGTATGATGTACAGTTATTCTGTGATTTGTAACAGCAGACTGACCTTGATGGGCCAAGTCCTGAGATTTTTGTGCAGATACATATATGTGCATTTATTGATCTGCTGCAGTTTTCAGTTTCTGCAAGCATGTGGAGGTGCCTGTTCCATTGTTCTAAGCATTTCTATTATATGTCATTTTTGTTTTTAAAGTATATCCCAAAGGAAGGAGATGCTCCCAACCCACTAGCGTCTTGAAGTGATTACTTGTTATCTTGCCTGATTACAGTAATAAGCTACATGCAACTAACCTCTTCTGCATGTTTGCATCATGTGGTTTTAATGTACAGACTGATAACTCTTGTATATGATGCTGTGTTTTATATTCCCTGCTGAAGAGTGCCAGCTATCCCCTACAAGGAAAGGAGGGTGCTTTGCATATCTCTGGTATGGAATAGCTACTTTGGCAGGAGTCAGTTTCTAGTGTGACAGACATTTTCATACCTATGAAAACCACTTTTACTGCCCCAAAGGGGGAGGATCTGTGAAGGCCAGAACTTGAACTTATCTCGCCTTGACCAGACTGAAATGGCGAGTGAGTTAAAAGACAGATGTGAAGAAACAAAAACTAAAAAAAAATATATATTGTCTTTTTTTACACTATGAATAAATAGATGTGTTTTAATTTATGTCTTTGATTTGAAGTATGTGGATAACATACAGCGTGGTTATCACCTGAGGATGAAGCAAGATTGTAAACCACGGTACTGGCATTTCCTTAAAAAGTGTCTTGTTTCCCAGAATGTACTGTGCCGTATCCAGAAAGTAATGGAGTTCATCCTTATCTGAGCTGCAGAGAGCAAGGGCCTGGCACTATTGGGGTTAGGAGAGATGAAAATATCTTCCAGTAAATGTTGGAGGCTTTTCTGTGCAAGGAGATGAGATACATACTTGAATTGTAGAGTCAAAGAGGGAGTGTCATTGTGGTGATAGTCGTGCTTTAAAGACTGTCTTAAAGTCGGAAATACCTCCCTCCCCCTTTTTAGAAGATGTGTGTCAGGACGACTCATCAGAATATTCTTTTGTGCTGGCTTCTTGCAAATGGTGAAGTCCTCAAAATACACTAACTCTTTGAACCAAGTTGAGGCTTGTCAGGCAGCAAATCACATCTTCATTTTAAGGGTCTCAGAGAGCACAGGATTGTACCTAGATAACTCAGATACAGCAACTTTAAAAAGTTCGTAGAGTTTGGAAAGATTGTAGCCATAAGACATCAAAAACTGGATTGAAGGTGGTTTTTACTGTTACACGTAGGAAACTGATCCTAAAGTTGCAGTGAGGAAAGAAAGCCTTGTCAACTGTCCAGATTTCTAGGAAGGCAAAGAATTCTGCCCTGAACAGTAAATGGTAAAATGGTAATTCCTGCATCGCATATGCTGTGATAGGTGAAAGAATGTGAGCATTAATCTCTTCAAATAAATGAAGACCAGTGTCATTACATTGCTGGAGATAAAGTCACCCAGGCCCCTAAATGTTAATAGTTACATTCATTTTGCTTGGCTTAGTTAGAATCACATGTTCTAAAAAGAAGATCCAGCATAGCTTTGGGTTATATTTATGTGCATACTGTAAATAGAAGTAACTAATTTTTAGAGGAAAAATTACACAATCCTTCAGCTGTGTCCTGGTTTTGGTATCTGCCACTCTGTTTATTGCCATCATGCTCTAAATGGTGACAAACTGCTTTTTGTATTTTCTGATATAACAGGCTATACAGCGTATAATGACAGAAATGTTTCTTTCAGTTTCTGTGCCGTGCTGGAAGGAAGTGAGAATGATATGAGGTTTGTGTACTGTGCTTCCTGCATCTGCTATATGCTCGATAACTGGTCAGGCATGGATATGAAAAAAGCGATAGACTACATTAGAAGAAGTATGGTGAGTATTCACAAAGTGTAATTTCCTACTACATTTTAAAGTTCCTAGCTTTATTTCTTAACTGTGACAAAAAATCCCCCCATCCAGATTGAAATATTATGGTAATTTCTTTCTCTTTTGTTCCTACTTTAGCGAGTGGAAAATGAAAAAATAAACTGGGTTGTTTTTTTTTTTTTTCATTTGTATTTTCATTGTAATTTGTGTACTAGCTAGATATTTTTATTTGGTGTGTATGTTCACTGCAAATTAAATCTGACCTTTTTTCTTTAAAACTTAAAATTTAAAGCAGTTTTTTTGAAATTGTGGCCTGATGTTCCTATAAGTTAGAAAAAATGCATAATAGAACACTGCATCAATAAAATACGTTTTAATGAGCTGTAGTGCTGCTTTTTAAATTATATACAGAATCAAAAGAAAAACTAATTAATGACATCAGTTCAAACTTAGTAAGAGTTTCCAGTCATGCACTTCATTATTTATTTATTAGATACTTGGAATGAAGGAAAATGTTAGTATATACACATTTTTTTTCTTTCTCTGTGAAAGCGGTCTTCATACTTAGTTGGAGAAAAAGATTTTTCAGGGGTTTTTCATTATGTTTTCATTAGTGTAATTGAGTTTCATTTTCCCAGATTGAAATAAATGTTTTTCAAAGAAACTGAGTAATCTTGAAAATTACAATTTCTTGAATGTGACTAAACATGCATAGTAAACTCTTCTGGTCAATAAAAAAGAGCCAAAATTTATAATGATATACTGTGGCAGCACACCATAATAAGTTATGGCAGTCACAAAGCAAGCAAAAGCAGACAGCAGCAGAAGCACTGTAATGGTTAATCATCACATTTTTATATCCCCTTGTCCCCCAGCCCCATAGTCTCATTGGTGAGGGTCTTTTGGCATGTAGCTCCTTTGTTCTTCTGATTGGTCATCATGCGTCCATTCACGCAACCTTCACGCTTATCGAAGAGTTGGATTTTCCCGTCCTGTTTCTTTGTTCCTTTCCTCCTGTTTTTCAACCACAGGTGCACAAAATAATTAGCTCATAGATACGGCTCTATTCCATCAAGACCGTCAAGGCTGCCTGCGGCCCAGCCGATTCCCACAATATACAACTTCAGTTGTAAACCAGTATGTTTTAGTAGTTGCTGCCAGCAGTGAGATTGTGAAATTGAAGTGAGAAACAAGTCTAAAAAAGACTTCATCTCCTTCTTCAGACCAAATTGGGTTTTATTTTTTGTTTATTATGTAAGGAGGTGGTTAGATGCATAAGCATTTCTTACTGTACATCACAAGAAGCTTTCTGGCACACTGCCATAGACTGGTTAGGAGCATAATTTTATTCATATGTTCTTTTTCAACAAATTTCAAATCATCTAATCCATACGTTGTACATTCATGACATTAGCCTGCATGCTGGAATTGAGAGGATGAACAAAACTTTATGCTATCACTCCTACATTGCTTTTAATGCTTTTTAATGTGTTTCTGCTTGGCTTACTCCCCCAACACACCTCAGCAGGACAGAGGAGAGAATAGGAGGAGCATAAGCAAGAAAACTCAGTGATGGACGTACGGTTAGCTAAGTGAAGAAAAGAGGAGAAAAACAAGTGATGCAAAGGCAGTCAGTCAGTCACGGCCTCCCACAGGCAGACTGATGCCCAGCCAGTCTCCAGGCATCAGCCATCTTGGAAGACACCTTCTTCCTCCTCACCCCTTCTTCTTCTGCTACCCCAGTTTTACTGCTGCGCGTGAGGTTATGGCATACAGAATATTGCTTTGGGCAGTTGGGTTCAGCTGTTCTAGTTGTGTCACCTCCTAGCTTCTTCCCCAGCCTACTCACTGCAGGATGGTGAAGTGGTGAAAAGGAGAAAGCCTTGATGCTGTGCTTGGTACTGATAGTCCATCCAACAGCTGTCGTCTAGTGCCCATGTCTCCCCCACTTCTGGCAGGTCAGCCTACAAGCCTGTGAGATTCATGGTCCCACTCCAGTTGCTGGTACTCAGACCACCTGTCTTACCCACTAACTACTTGGGTCTGAAGTTTGCTAGCATTCACATACGTGCACACTTGGAATAGATAGCACAGGTCCACAGAAGATAGTTTTAAAAAGTGTTTTATAAGTCTTGGACCAACCAGGGTGATCAGGTGGTCAAGGGCAGGGCTTAGTTATGCAAGCATACAGACCAGCAGTCTGTTCACGCTCTCCTAGCACCTTTTATCCCCTTTTTGCCTCTGTTTTGCCTTGCTAGTTCCTCTCCAGTCTGCTTTGATCTTTCTCTTTCTTACCATTGGTCCTTCCCCTAGCCATCCCATAATAAGTTGTGCACACGCATGCATTCCCCAGAAAACATCCCATAACAAGTTTACACAATCCCAGATTTTTGTCCCCTTGCAATCCCATAAGAGCTCCTATACCCCCGTAGTTAGTAGCCCACTTAGCATGGGCTTCCACGGTGAGGAGATCTCTGCTGACTCCTCTTGGCAGGCTTCACCCAGCGACAATGATCTATCCATTCTCCTTTGACAGTGTGAGGGAGCAACGGAGTCAGGGTGCTGCTCACTTTTCACTGATTAGGTTGGAAGGGTTTTTCCTCCTCTGATCCTTGCTGGACCTTTGTGGTTACTGAGGTGAGCCTTTAATCAGGTAGCTTAGCAGAGATAGAATAGGAGAATCAAATACTAAGAAAGAATAGAGAACAAAACCAAAGAGCAGATGCCTCATAATGTTGTGCTATACATCTCGTCAACTGTTGGTTAGCATTTTGTACCCTGACTGTATTTTTGGTCCAAGAGGATATGGTGGAACTGGGAAGGGTATAAGAAAGTTGAGTGGAATTGTTAGAGGTATGAACCAGCTTGTGTAGAAGGAGCACTTAAGATGCTAGGACTCTTCATTCTGGAAACGCGATGATTAAGTGGATTGTGACAGAGGTATGTAAAGTAATAAGTAGCACTGAAAAGATGAAGTGAGCCCGGAACAATTACTTCTTTCTAAGACAATAACTAGAGAGCATTATATGAGGCCGCTGATCGAGGAGGCAAGCGAAGAATTTTTGAAAGTTTGGAGCTTTCAAATGGTGCTGGAGATTTACTGTCTACAGTGATCTTGAACCAAATTTATAGTTTGCTTCTAGAGCCTTAGCATTAATCCTTGAATCTGCAAATTCCAATTTGGAATTGCTCCTACTGGGAAAATTAACACCACTTTAAAAAAAAAAAAAAAAAAGTGAAAAAAGAAAAAGCCTGAACAGAACAAGACCTCTTTGGAAGGGCCTGTAGTAATACTTTGGTTGACCAGTGAAGTAAGACTGAAGTCTGGGCTTGGTCAAAGTCCGGAAGACACTGGCTTATCACAAAGACGAGGTCTTTTCCCAGCCAGCTCAGAGAGTAACTCAAAGAGATCCTGTAAGCAGTGTTCAGTAGGCAGCAGTCTCCTTAGAATGTGCTTATGTGTAACAAGAAACTATATTTTTGTCCGGGCTTACTGTGAGATGGTAGATTGACTATATAGTGTGTTCAGTAGGACATCTTCTCTAAGTGTCAGTTTGCTGTGAATGCACTGCAGAGTTGGTATGCGTATGTACACTAGTTTCGTCTGGGTTTTCTGGGTGTGCACTGCTTGGTCAGACTGGTATTTCAGTGCACCAACTCGGTTGCTAGGTGCCTGGAACTTCTAGGCAAATACAAGAAGTCTTTGCATTCTGCTTGGTCACATCGTAGAGGTGAAGATGTGTTTAAGGAAGTCTCAAATGCTCAGAGAGTCGCCCTTTGTGAAAATCATTTCACGGTAGTGGATGTTCCTTCGTCTCATTCATCTCTTTCCATGACCCTTCATGAGATGTATTCCAGTTCAATTAGCTGTCAGAAGAAGCAAGTCTTTCTTAAAGTGTATTGCTTAAATGCAATGAACATGAAATATGTTATTCAAGAATATTAGCCTTTTTTCTCTGCTAAGATTTTGTATATGGTGCTAGAAATAACCTATATATGTAGTAATTCAAAGTAAATTCTATTTGAGATTATTTCATTTGTTACTCCTTGTGTAACTAGCTATACAGTGAATATTGCTATAGATTTTCTTGCAAATGCTTATTCCTCTTTCCTACAATGTTGCCTTGTTCTGCTGCTTACGTTAATTATAAAGCAAAGCAGATTGTGTTGCTCAGTAGTAAATTGCTGTGACAGAAAGGTGTGGTTTTGTTTTACAATTATATGTCACCATTTGCACGTAAATGAAGCAAGTGATAGTTAACAAACTTTTTTTGAGTTATTTAAATTGGCATACATGTGAAGTGCAACGAACTTGGATGGAGAGTAACAGGAGTGGTTAAGACCAGTAATCTTTATAATAAGCTCCTGGATTTTTTAGGTTATTCTTTGGAACTTATTCTCTTTAGTGATGCAGTATCAGAAATGTGATAGATATAATTCAATACAGCTGAAGTAGGGAGGGAGTTTGTGTAGTTAAGCATGTTAAGAACAGCAGAAGACTGGAACACGAAACAATGGTGTTGCTTTATTCAGAAAAGTAGCTGGGTTAAAAAGAATTGAATCTTCATACAGACTAGATGGCCTTCTGTTACTACTTGACTAAGAAATGTTTATACAGTACTGATCACGAGAACAATTCTGGATGAGTTTTATTGTCAGTGAAATAGGCTCCAATCACAATTTTTATCAGCCTAAGTTGATTTTTTGCTTTCACGTTTAAAAGTCAGATATATCACTAGTCAAAAAACAAAAGGCACTAAGAAGCTGAAATTTTGAATGACTTCACCAAACCACAGACCCTAAAATAACTGCTTTTTGCAACACTGCTTGATTTACTACAAACTTGGTTTTCAGGTAGAGATATTGCAAGAACTTTTAAGTGTAGCATCTGGTTCTTCCAGTAGAGTCCTCTTGAAATGCAAATACATGAGTCTGTTGATATAGTGAAGCTGATTGTGCAGCTTTTAAAATATGAAGTAGAGATTGTACCCAACTGGATTTACACATATCCTGAGGATAGTATGTATTTAACTGTATAGCTTTCATGTTGCAGTAACCTAGAGCCTCTTTTGCATGTGATTTCCTGGGCCCTTTCAAAAGGACAAAGAAACAAAAATATTTCCCTAGTTGCACACAAGTCCCCAAAGAGCAGCTGCTGCATGTAAATAAATAGGCACCAGTCAGCCAAAGGTCAACTATTGTCTATTAAAATTTCAAGCTAATTGTACAGCCCAACATAGTACACTGTGTGGGATGCACACTTAACAGCTTTTCTCCACAGCTAATTACTTAGTCATGTGTAAAGCAAACCACCTCCTTTTACAATTGCTGTTTGTAATTAGCTTTGCCAGCATAGCTTTGCTAATCAGCTTGCCTTTGCTTAGCAATTAATGGGCCTGTAGAGTGTAGTAGCACGTTTGGACCGCATTCTCAAAAGGCGGTGCAAAGTGTTTTACACTGTGTGTTATAACATTCAGGTATTCATAGGAATTACTTAAAATTGACCTGTTCAAACTTCAGAAGGTCGAGCTGCAGCTTGAAGTGTATCTATCAGATGTTACTCTCTTTAGTTGCTTCAACTTGCAGCAAGAATTCAAAAACTGAGAAATAGAGTTTTAATGTGGCTTCTGTTTCCTTTTTTATTCCCAATGCCAGCTTTAAAAACAGATCTACAAAACAATCCTTAGGTCATTGCTAAAGACATGCTAGCTCCTGTAGGCATTCTTTGGTTAGGACTATGGGAGTCTGTCAAGGTGTCCTGTATCTACTAGCCACTTCTAAATATTTTGGAGAAAACAGGAGAAATTCATAGTCAGCACGGGGGTGGGGGCAGTTGAAATTGCTTTCTACCTGTCTGATCAGATATTGAACAAATCATTAATTGAGCAGCTACTATAGAAAGCGTAGGATCTTTGTTATTTAACTTTAAAAGTTAAACATAAAAGGTTGAATGATTTTTGTTCCTACTAAAGAGTTTGCTATTTGTCCAGTGGTAACTAATTAAGCATTCTATGAACTGTTGTAAAATAAACATTTTCCATTTTACAAATAACTTACTCGGATCTCTTGTTTTTTATCATGCAAAATGATTTAATGAATTTTTAAGGAATAAAGATTATTATTTCTACGTATACAATATCACCTGCTCCTACGTTGCTCATAACAGACCTGTACTGTAATATTCTTGGTGCTTTGTTCATCAGACTCAAGTTTCTGCTTTTGCTTATCAAAGTGATTTTTCGGCATTGTTAAGATATTTTTTAACAGTAAAATTTTATAGGGCAGGTCAAATTTAGTCCAATAGTATGCTTTATGATGATGTCAGTTCTGGTTTGCCTCCCCCACTCCGTAGTCTTTTTTAAAGCCTAATGTTCTTTTTTTAAAGCCTAATGTTCTTGCTTCTTGATAACGCATTTCTTGTACTTGAGTATTGTACACACAATAGTACCTTTCATTTTGTCTTTTTGTGTGTTAACCATCTTTTGGGTTAGAGACAGATTTAATTTATCCATTTAACTTTGTTTGGAATTTTGTATCCTTTTCCTCTTTTTATGAAGAAAAAAATTGTTGTGTATTTTTCCTTTAAGGGTTATCTGCATTACATGCTTTCAATTTTTAGCAAGAACTTGTTTACCCATTTTCAGACTTTTAGCATACGTCACAACTAAAATAAATTCCATGAAAGTCATAAAAGCTGCCTGCGTTGAAACAAGGCTGATTTGTTAACTGTTTTGTGCTGAGAGCTTTTTGAGGGTTGGGTTCAGAATTTAATCAGGTTAAATGGTGGTTATGGTCTGATGATAATTTTGCTAGTAAACTGAGAAATTGCAATGTCTGTGAAAGTGATTTGGTACTAAAGTAACTGGTTTGTGGGTTTTTTTTTTTTTCTTCAGTCTTATGATAACGGCCTGGCGCAGGGAGCTGGACTGGAATCTCATGGTAAGAATGTTACCACGTTCTACGCCTGGTTTAAAGACTGGGATTGAAAATGCTGTAAGAGGTGCAGGGGGTGTCATGCTTTTATCTCTTTCCTAGTTTTAAGGAAGTGGAATGAGGAGGAGCAAATCTCTCATCTTCCCTTAGTATCAGACCAGATGGGCTCTTAATATATCAACTCCATTAATCTTATCTCATGAATATTTTGTTGAAAGGTGTTGGCGGTAGTTCTCATCTCTTGCTGAGAGAGTGAACTTCTTTTACATGTACCATTGCTGCTCTGTGGATTTTTTTCAGGAGATTTTGTGCAGCGCACCTGATAATCTCCAATTTCAGCAGCTGTTAGTAAAACCTCAAAGCATTTCCTCTGGTAGATTACAGCATCCATTGGGGGCTCCAGTGTTGAAGCAGGAGTTAATTTTTGTAAACGGTAGTAGTTGCGAAGGTAGGAATTCCCAAGAGACTGATGTTTTTAAGCAAAATGTTTGTATGCCATGAAGTAGTGGTCTGCTCGTCCAAGAGAAGCTAATGATTTTTGTGTGACTGATAGTAAATCTATCACATGTTTGCTAGCTTTATTCTTGGTATTGAGCTTTGGTAGAATTCCATCTGTTTTCTTCCTGCAGGATGGACAGAGGTGAAAAACTTCAATTATACCCCTATGTATTTAAAAAATCAGTTAACTAAGTTACTGTAGAATGCTAGTGATAAGAGATAGCATTACTTAAGCATGCTTCTCCTGCTGCATTTCAGCACGAGAATGAAAATCACTCTTAGAGTTCCTGGGATGTTTCAGCACTGGGGTAGTGTAAGGAACTTGCGGCCCTATGTCTTGTATCTACAGCTTGCTTACAGTCTTTCCCAGGCTGTAATTTTATCATATCAGGTAATAGACTGAGCATGAGTTTTGATGGGCTTTAGAAAGTGATGGCCATGGTACACAGACAAAGAACATGAGTTCCTCTTCTAATTCCAAATTTTATAGTGCAGTTTCCTTGACAAGAAAGAATTCCTTGGAAGCATAATTTGTGTTTATTACAACCATCAGAGTCCAGCAGTTTTTTCATAGTATTAGCCATGCCTTTGTGTTTTCCTTAATATTTTTTTTTGCTTTCTGCTCATCAGACACTTCTGTCTGTTTATATCCTCTGGGGGATTGTGTCTGAGACTGCCTTTGGCATCTCTGCTTCAGTCTGATTGCTGGCATCCCAACAGCTTTCTTTTTTAAGTTACATATGAAGAAATGTTTTCTGTTGCATTGCAACTGCTGTGTAATGCAAATTGCACAGCATTGGGAGGCAGTCCATCTTTAAGAAAATTAATTCAGGTTTATTTGTGCAAGAGTTGGGTGGAGTTTTTCCTTCCCCTTTGACACACGTGCTTAACTAAAGTGGTTTTATTTATTTGGATTTTAGACTTAAAATTAACACTTTCATACTTCTAAAAATCCATTGATTTAATAGTTACTACCCTAGTTAAATTTTGACTGAGATCATAAGATCTTCAGTGAAAATCTGGGTAGCAAAACATTGCAAACCAAACTAATTATACCTATATATATAATATAATGTATAATATACTTCACAGGTGGCTCAACATTTTGTGGTATCGCATCGCTGTGTTTGATGGGTAAACTGGAGGAAGTTTTTTCAGAGAAAGAACTGAACAGAATAAGAAGGTGGTGTATAATGAGACAACAGAATGGCTACCATGGACGACCCAACAAACCTGTAGACACTTGCTATTCCTTTTGGGTGGGAGCAACATTGAAGGTAGTGTACAGAACAGCTACAGCATAGTTATTGTTTTGATTAGTTTAAGCATCGTGTCTTTTCTTTGCCTGAAAGAGTTACATATTTGACACAAGTGCATGAATATGCAGTGATCACTATAAAGGTCTTTCTTTCATCTTGCAAAAATGCAGGATATCGAGGTTTACCAGATTACTACTGTCTTTGCTATCACTGCTTCTCTGATGAATAGGCACTGTATTTTGGTATTAAAAATATAGTAAGATTTAGTAGATTACTGTAATGCTCTGATTTCTTTTCAGCTCTTGAACATATTCGAATATACAAATTTTGAGAAAAACCGAAATTACATCCTGTCAACTCAAGATCGCCTTGTTGGTGGATTTGCCAAGTGGCCAGATAGTCATCCAGGTAAATTTACTTTTTGAAATTATGGTGAATGTGTTCTAAGCTAGAAATACATTCAAGCAGTCAGACATCTGAAAGGTGTAAAGGAAGTTTTCTCCTCAATGTCCTTCAAAAAATGGAAAAAAAAACCCCTTTAAAATACAAGATTTTCACAATTTAAGTAGAAAAAGAGAGGTAAAGTTTTTCCCTGTTGAGCCACAGAGCAATCGAGCTGTTGTTGTTTAGACCGTTGCTAAAAGTGTGTGGCTGTCTGTTTAGAGCTGGAGAAGCCTTTCCATACGTGTTTAACTGTTCTAGTGAAAAGGAATATTATGCAGTGGGTATCTTTGTAAACAGCCTGAGTAAAAGATTTCAAAACATTTGTTTCCTTAATGAACGAATCCTTTAAGCTTATTCATAAGTCATTGATGTATATAAAAACAGTCAAAGTTTACAGTTATATGTTATGATTCACAGATTGTAGTTACATATAGCAATTATACATAGTGCACGTGAAAAATAATTATTATCCTTTTGGAAGTGGATAATTTGAAGTAGTGAAACCTTTAAAAGATGCTAAAATCTTTTAATTTTAAATAATTTTAGAAGATGCTAGAATTCAATGAAGATATTGCAAACTTGTGAAAGCAAACCTTGTACCAGTAGTGTTGCCCAGAGGCATTTTGTACAGGGAAAGTAAGCAGTCTGTAAACTGACCAAATAAGATAAAAATTTAGTCATAATAAAGGCTGTGTTCAGAATCAGTGCCTTGATATTTCATCCTTTCATCATTTCATTTTGAACAACAGTTGAGAATTTTTCAAGGTGGACCCACACTAGAAGCACAGTGCTTGTGATAGATGTCCTTCTCCCACTCCCCTGAAAACCAGCTTAGGATTCCTGAGGACTTCGTTGTATTTACTCTGCATTATATGGAGCAGTCAGTATTATTTGGAGGAAGTATTTCTGTTTATCTTGATGAACCATTTACTTAGTGACCTAGGAATTAAAAAATCTGTTAAAACCCCAGTCATGTGCAGAGTTCCTTAAACTGTCTTTTAGCATAGGTATGATAGTTAGAGATAAGATTTGAGAAAGGCAAGACTAATAATAAATCTGTTTTGCTTTGTTTTTTGTGGTGTTCCAGCCTGAACATTGTTTCTTATAAAGCAAGCTTCTGTTGTCTCTCTTGTTTTGCTGTGATAGGTGGGCTTATATCAGCATCCTTTCCTCAGGCAGTTGGTGGCGTTAGTCTGTGTTCACGTTTTGAAGGAAAGAGTAAAAAGTTAACGCAGTTGTAATGTGAAGAATGACTATAAATGCAACTTTACAAAGATTGTTTCTGTGGAATGTGATTTAATTGTCACACATAGACAGCTGAGCTTCCTACCAACTCAGTCTAATATCTGAAAGGCAAGCTGTCTTTTGATTGTTGTGTATCTCCACAGTAAAGGTTTCACACTTCACTAACATGAAGTGTCTGTGCAGCTCAATTGATCTTGAAAGCCTACTGGTCGTTAGATATACAGTCCTCTTGACTCCAGTGTAAATGCAAAATGTGAACATAACGACAGTGATATGAGTGATCTTGCAAATGAGTTAGTACTTCTTTTGAGGTTGAGTATGGACAGAAATTATTTGTTCTTCTTGAAGCGTTTAGCATTTGTAAAGCTGGTAACAGTGGCCTCAGTTTGGTTTGTTGCAAAACTCTGATGTGACAGAGTATTCCAGGGAAAGTTTGCAAAGTAAGAATGTGCTCTTTTTTCAGAGGTGCTAAGATGGATTCAGAATTTGAACGTCTGTAGCTCCTACTTTATAAAAGCTCTGTTTAAATTTAGGTAGCCAACCTGTCTTCGCTCTGCAGTAATATTTTTAGAAAGAGGAGTAGAAGAAATTGCAGAAAACAGTCAAGTGCTTATGATAATCTATATATTATATGGACTTCCAAAGTTGCAAGTAACTTTTCACAACTGATTGTGCAGGGAAGTACTATTTTGTAGTCCTGATGTTCTTGTGCTAACAGACATCATTTCAATGAATCCTGCTTCTGGAGGCTGGTAGCGTTAATTAACACTTTTTTTTTTTTTCCTTTAGAATAGTCTTTGGGCCAGCATGCTTATTGAGTAGTGAGCTTAGAAAACTTCTTGGCTATGAAAATAAATCTAGAAAGTCAAAAGACTCTTAAATACTAGTAGTCCTCTGAAAACATGAGCATAACAAACTGAATGAGGACATGATGGTTGGTTTGTTTATAGTGGACTACAGGTTGTCAAACACAGGAAGGGCTTTTATCTGAAGAATGTTCTGAGCATCATTGTAGCAGTAATAGTATTACTGTTGCATAAAGCAGGCACAGACATTGGCTCAGTAGGGAGATTTATACCTCAAAACAGAACGAAGCACCTACTGTATTTGTTCTGTTCTTTGTTTAGAAGTGACTGATACGTATTTTTTCTTCAAGTTTTCCATGTTAAGCAGTTAGATTTGCTGCCTTGTGTTAATACTACTTGTTATAAACATTAAACCACACTAGTTTTCTTCCTAGTAGCCCATACAGTGCTGTGATTTGGATTCATGACTAGAACAGTGTTGATAACACACTGATGTTTCAGCTGTTGTGGAGCGGTACTTATGCAGAGTCAAGGCCTTTTCTGCTCCCCCTACTGCCCTGCCAACGAGTGGCCTGGGAGTGCACAAGAAGTTGGGATGGAGCACAGCTGGGACATCTGAACCCCACTGAGCACAGGGGTACCCCATAACACATGGTGTTGTGCTCAGCAGTAAAAGCTGGGGAAAGAAGGAGGAGGATGTTTGGAGTTAGTGTTTTTCTGGGAAGTGGCTAAAAACCTGCGTGCCAATGGGATGCAGTGAATAAATTCCTTATTTTGCTTTGCTTGCACCCACGGCTTTTGCTTTCCATCAGAACTGTTATTCAGAAAACTCAACCCATGAGTTTTCTCACTTTTGCTTTTGTAAAGTGAGAGGGGGGAAGTGAGCGAGCAGCTGTGCAGTGCTTAGCTGCCTACCAGGGTTAGTCAACATTTCGCTAGGACACATACCCAAGCGATTTGGGTTATTTTTGGAATTGTGCATGTCAAGACTAGATTTCAATAAACTTTTCTTTTAAATTACTAGATGTACTGTTGCATGCCCTAGGAGGTTGTGCTGCAACTCTAATGCATCTTGCTTGTTATCTTTAAATGACATGCAATATAAAAGAATTGGTAGCACATGTGAATTACAGATTATGCAAGAGAAAGATCAAAAGATTTAACATAAGAGAGTGAGAGGATGAAAATCAGCATGCACAATTACTACATGTGAAACACTGAAGTGAGATTTGCTCTCATAGAAGTATAAATACACCTTATTTTGTTATGTTTTTAAGGCAGCAGCCGAACAGTTGAAAGGTTGCATGCTGCATTCTGTAGTTGTGAGTTACTTAGGTCTAAACACTTTTTCATATGTTTTTTAACCTTGGAAAGCTTGGTGTATTTCATAGCTTGAAACAGAGGAGTACACAGGCTGCATATATGTGTTTTAGCTAGAACTAACCTGAGTATTAAGTTAGCATGGATTTGCACAACTGTTGAACTCAGTGGTTAAACCCACCAAATAGCCATACATTAGGTTTGTATATCATTTTTAGTGGGTATCAGTGCATCTGTCCACAGGGGTTAATATACTGTATCACCTGAAGTTGAGGACTCCTTACCTGACATACTTTCTGCAGCATCAGTAGAGGCTGTGTCTGCTGAGCATGCTTTTGTCTGCATATTAATGCTGATAAGCAGAAGCCTTCTTCCAGAGTGTCTCTATCCAGATTCCTTCTTGTAACATCGTTTTAATCAAACAGGAATTCACTGGCACCTCCAAAAGATTGCTATGTGTTGAGAATTTGTAAGGGGCACGTTAAATTCATGTCCCGTTTCCATCTTTAGCCCTAGATTTTGTGGGCAGATAATCCAATCTAATGGTTTGCTGCTGCTCAGAGGAGGCAGGCTCGCTTCTCTTCCTCCCAGCTTCCCAAAGTACTGCTGCACATCCTTTCTCCTTTTTGCACTAGCTTTGATGTATATCAAAACCTTCTGCAAAGCAGTTTAATTCACCAAAATGTCAGAAAACTGTCCATTTTCTCCTTCTTGGGTTAATTTTCTTCCATGTTTTTTCAATCGCTTTAGGTCCTGGAGGGTGTTCAGCAAGCTGTAGTGCTGGTATAGGGTAGACAGCAGAAGCAGCCTGGGACAAGGGAATAAGAGCATCCGTTTTTGGTGGCAGTCATCTGTTATTGCTGATCAAGCCACCTCATGAATACCTATCCTTAGGGTATTCTCCCAGGAAGGGGGGAAGCTAGGTAAAGTAATGACTTCTTTCATACTTCTGAATCTTGCTCATAGGCAGCTGTTGGCACTAATTTTGGTGTTTCAGTAGTGAGCTGTTCATGAAGTAATCAGCGAAAAAATTCTTTCATGTTCGGGAAGAAAACTTGCTTTGTTGACAGATGTCATTTCCAGCTCCTCGAGTTCTTTTGCTGTTTGGCCTGAGCACTCAGAAAAAATAAAGTAGTGGGCAAGCATTGTTATAAAATAAAACTAGGCTCTAGTTTTAGAGATTGCAGACTATCAGTTCATGTGGGTGACTTTGGGCAGAAATTGGCTTTCTGTCAAAAGTCAAGTTTAAAATATAGCACCTGTTTGTTTTCTTTGGCTGCAATTATTCAGGAGTGTTGGAATCCAGGAACACTTGGCTGTGACAGTCTGACGTAATTTTCTTTTTCCTTTTCTGTCCTTCTTTCAGATGCTTTACATGCCTACTTTGGGATCTGTGGTTTGTCATTGATTGGAGAACCTGGTATTTGCAAAGTTCATCCCGCCCTGAATGTAAGCACAAGAACCTCAGAGCGCCTTCACCACCTTCATCAGATTTGGAAAACAAGGACTCTAAACAGTGTTCAGATGACACACACCTCTCTACATGACTGATTTAGACTTGAATTTAGTTCTGGTAGCATAATTGTAGCCCAAGGTTAAAAGCCATGTATAACCAATGTGCTCTTTTAAGTGCTGGAGTCATACAGTCAGATCTGTGTTGCTGGCATCACTTTGATAGATAGGGAGTTGCCTTCAGCAGGTTATTCTGCATTGTGAAAAAAGGCAGTATTTTGATTATATATATGTTTGTCACAGCAGACTGTAAATGGCTCTTCAAATGGCTTTACTTTTAAGAAATCCCTTGAGGCGTTTAAACTTCATTTTTATTTTATTTTTTTAGATTTGTGCATACTGTGTCAAAATAGATAATAGGAAAGTATTTTCAAAATCTGTTTACATATCATACAGTATAGCACAGAACCTTGGAGTTCTTTATGGTTTTAATGTTTGACATATTTTTGGCTAGAGAATGTCCCACATTAAGTCTCAGTTAAAAGTTACCTTTTATTGTCTACTTTCAAATTCCATAAACTTTGTTAAAAAAAAAAATCAAGTAAATAAAGTTATTTTATTCAATATAGTGGACTTCTACAGTTGTGTGGCCTTACTAAATGGATTTCCTAATTCTCTGAGTAGCTTTCACACAGATGCAGTGGATCGTTCGCCAAGCAAGGAGTTTTCATCTGACATATTAACATATGTCAGTAAGAGACAGTCAACACAGTCTTTTGGAAGAGTAGCTGTGTGCAAGAGTAGCATTAGTACCTGTTTTCAAGGTCAAGCCTTTACAATACACTAAAATTGTACAACTGCATGCTGATTATTCTTTTATACCGATTTCCCTTTTAGGGTGAAATAATTGCGAGTCTCTTAACTATTCTGTTTAAAGAACGAAACATTGGCCTTTAAAGTAGGTGACAGTGGTTTACTGTTGGAGAGGTGATGAACTTTCTCAGTGCCTTACTTCCTATGCTTGAAATGCTGCTCAGAATCAAAGCAATAACTTTGCAGCTGTTGGACTTGTGGCAGGTCGTTCTGTGCATTTCAGGCATACAGCAGACACGAGGATGTCTTTCTGCTTGCCAGTCATTAAGGCTTTTTTTTTTTTTTCTAAAGGACTTCCAAAAACAGATAACTGAAGATCTCTCAAGCCAGATTAAGCGTGCCATTTGCCACCGCTGAGCCCAAAGACACAGGGTATAGACCCTTTCAGTCAGCAAAAAATGCTTCAGGAATAACTGTGGTTCTGATTTTGCAGTGCGGCACAAGTGAAAAGGTTAGAGTAGTTGCAACCCTAACACCCATGTCAGAGCGATCCGATGGGCATCCTGAGGCTACCAGAACAATTCCAGTGTCCAAACCTGTAGCAGCCTTCCTACTTAAAGAAATGGGTTTTATTTCTGTAAGCAGACTAATTTCCATGGCAGCATTGAGAACATCACCAGTGGTGGTGTTCTGCTTGGAAAAGCAGAGAGGGAGCACGGGGCAGGGCTTGGAAGACGTGTGATCTAGGCATGTCCCAGTAGACACTTTCCTTGCAGAAGGAGAGGCTACATAGCTGTAAGAACTGTAAGAAGTCTGGAGCGGTGGAAGCGAGAGGACTGTAGGGCTAGGATTGGGGAGGGGGAATGAGGTGCTCGAGTAGGACTGGTGCAGAGTAGGAGGATATTAAAACTGGGACACACGGATGGTGGAGGCAAAAGAAAAATAGGGGAGCAAATATGGACTAAGAGTGGAACCACAGTGGTGGAAAGGGTTTGAGCTGCCAAGGATAAATGCATAGATAAGGGGTCAAGAGCAAGAGGGAGGTACTGACTCCCTCCTTTCGTGAGAGAGTGAAGTAAGGAAGATAGAGCTTGGGAATTGGTTTTATTCCCCACATCCTGAGATGACCTGAAATTCACCTGCAAACAAAAATGCATAGTAGACATCCCTGAAAGAGAGGATCTACCAAGCTCAGGGCGCATGACAGCACTTCCTGTGGGAGTCCATTTACCTGGAGGGGCTTAATGATCGGTTGGTCAGCAAAGGCTGAGGCAGCTTCCCTGAACAGAAGCCTCTGTGGTCATGGGAGCAAGAGAGTCCATTAAAAAACAAACAGCCAAAGAACTTTGGGGTAGAAGTCATTCAAAATAGTGTATGTTTGTCCTTGACATCAGATGGTGGCCACAAGTTGACCCATGGCAGAGTCGCATGTTTTTTTGGAACATGGTGAAGTTAGAATGAAGGTGAGATGTAATTGTAGATACCCATCCCTACTTGTGCCACTCTGACTTGCTGGAGAACTGTCTACCAGTTTTTTAGCATTTGGTACAGCCCCTGTTAGAAGAAGTAGCTGTGAATTTCAGAAGAGTTGAATAAGGTGCTGTAAGTCTCTACTGGGAAACAGCCCAAATATTCATACTTTCATACTTTCCTTGATGAGGTATGATGTATTTGATTATCTTGTGGCTGAGTTTTGCTATCTGTGACCAGGTTCTCATCTGTGAGGGACATCAGGGTAGAAAAGCAGAAGTGAAGGGGACAACAGTGAAAAATCATATTCTGCGAGTAACTGGTTAATTTTTCATGGCAAGTAATTTAACAATGTTCTGCTTCAAGAAGCAGCTAATATTTCTTGCTTTGATTTCTGTATCTGTAAGCTACCTTGGGTTGTGTATACAGATTTTATATTTCACTTCTCCTTGGGCCCCAGTTATTCTGTAGCTTTTTTTTTTTTTTTGCTTCCACCTAAATAACAGCATCTTTTCAGGCTAAATGTCGACAGCAGAGTTACACTTTTCTAAAGGCTGCAGAAGGTGTATTTCCTTCCGATTAACTCCCATAGTTTGTTCTCAAGCCAACAAAACATGTATGCCTTCACTCCGCACTGAGAATCTAATTACTTTAATTGGTTTGAAATCTTTAATCTTTTTTAAGTTAACAAAAATCTGTGCTAATAACCAACTCTGCATGCATGATTTGCCGTTCTTAGTGCCCCAATTGGTTGGGCAAACAAATGGTGAACACTGAACGTTCCTGTGTAGCAGACATTTTGATTCTGCTTTACTTGTGTAGTTATTGCTAGATTGCATTGTCTCTCTTATTTTTGTGGTTATGATGTCTTCTGACTAGAGAAATGTGAAATGATAAATTGATGAACAATAATTTCACAAATAAGAAGAAGAATCCATGACCTAAAATCTCATAGAATGGAGACATCCAAATGCAGCTGAAACTAAAAGCTGAACTGTGAAGCTTAAATGTAGCTACAAAGAGCAAACCATCCAGTTGCTATCTACCTGTAATAATTTTGTGTTAATCACATCTTTGCATTGCTGAGGCTGAACCTAAATAAGGAATTAGTAATTTACCATGTGCTTTTGAGGATGTAAAAAGCCATCTTATAGACGAAAGGCTGGACATGAGCCGGCAATGTGCGCTGGCAGCCCAGAGGGCCAACCGTGCCCTGGGCTGCATCAAGAGAAGCGTGGCCAGCAGGGCGAGGGGGGGGGTTCGGGCCCTTCACTCTGCTCCTGGCTGCGGGGAGACCTGATTGCAGCCTTTCAGTACTTAAAGGGAGCCTATAGGAAAGATGGGGACAATCTTTTTAGTAGAGACAGCAGTGACAGGACAAGGGGTAATGGTTTAAAACTAAAACAGGGTAGGTTTAGGCTGGATATAAGGAAGAAATTCTTTACAATGAGGGTGGTGAAACACCTGGATGGTTGCCCAGAGCGGTAGTGGAGGCCCCATCCCTGGAAACATTCAAGACCAGGCTGGACAGGGCTCTGAGCAACCTGATCTAGTTAGTGGTGTCCCTGCTCGCTGCAGGGGGGTTGGACTAGATGACCTCTAGGGGTCCCTTCCGACCCAAAACTTTCTATGATTCTATGATTCTATCTTGGCTAGCAGGGCTTGTAGTATGCGGAACAGTTACACTGCCACAACCTTTCGATGTTCTGGCAATGGTGTTGTACAACAGGCCCAGTCCGTAATTATTCCTGTGCATCAAGGCTGCATTTATAAAATTAATGCCTTATGTGATCCTCAGCGGCACTCAAAGCTTGCTGATGTTGGCTTGGACTGACAAAGGTATGCCAGCTGGGTGCCCCTACCTGATCTGGAAGGCTCACAAACTATGTCTGTGGTTCCACCTCCTCTTCCAGAAAAAGAGCTTTGAACTGGCTTGGTGAACAAAGGCAGTGAAGTGTATCCTTTCAACAGGATCTGAGGACAGAGGCTTCAAACATCGTCATTAGGGCTTTCAAAGCAACTTGATTTGTGTGTAGCTGCTGGCAGTTATGATAACACCATTTTGGACGACTGTTGCTAAGTATGTTTGTATTTATGAACTTTTAGGCTTGAGAAATCTTGTTCTAAATGGAACAATCATCAGCTGTGAAAAAAACTAAGAAGTAAATTGGGCATTGGAGAAATAGCCTGAAATATGTGTATTGGAGCACATACTATGTCTGCCTTGCTCCATGCTCTTAATGCCCTGTAGCAAAGTATGAGACAGCATAAGAGGAGCTGGAGAAGCTGCATCAAATTTGCTGTTCTCCACGGAAGCCAGTATCAAAAATGAAATATCTCGTAGAAACAATAGTGTTTCCAGAAAAATATGTTTCACCTTTGTAGCGAGTCCTCAGGCATTCAGTTTGGGGTTACCTTGTGTAGAGGGCGAGGAACAATAATTTCGAAAGTCCAAGCCTTTGTGGACCGCCTGTCTCCTTGCGTTTTGGAACAACCCTGCTATTGGCGCCCCTACAGAGGTAGAAGACTTGCTGTCAGGACGTGAGGAGAGATCCTGTTGCTGCAACTAAAACGTGAAATGTGTTTGAAATTCATCAGTTGAATGAAATATTACTGTGTTGCTGTTAGATACCATGGTTGTTCTGAAAAACAGGACTGGACAAAAGTGGCCATTGTCTCTGGAGGACGAGTAGCATCCCAAGGAAGGAAGCAGTCCTGCCTCTCAATAAAAATGAGAAGTTCATCAAGGAAGAGAAAATCTGTGTGAGAACAATCTGCAGCCTCTCAATTTGAGGATTTCAAAACGTGCATGGGAGGGGAAACATTTGTGGTAAGGAAAGAGCTTTCAACTTGTCCGATTGGGTTGTTTATGTTAAACTCGCAAATGAGGGAGAATGTGGAAGCCTGCGTTTTGACAGCTTTTGACAGCTTCAGCCACACGTGCGTGTGAAGGTGGCTTCCGTGTTAACTCCAAACAGTGACAACAGCCAGACTCTGGTACAAGGACCAGGAGCTACTCTCTGCACTGGTTAAACCAACTGCCTCGCCTGCTCACAGTCTGAGAGAGCACGGAGGCCTCCAGGAAGCTGTTTCTGCAAGAGCCATCCGTGGGTTTCCATCCAGATCTCTCCCCGTGTCCCTGTTGCTACAGCACAGGGGCCAGAGGCTCTGCCTCACCCCGAGAGGGAGGATCCCACCTTATCCTTTTGGGAAATCTACAAAAGGGCAATTGGGTGTGAAAATGGCAGAACAGAAGCCAAGACGGTTGTTCATCACCCACCCTGAGTGCTTGTGGGAAAGGAGCGGTGCTTGTGGTGCCTAGAAAGCTAAAAATGCAGGGC